ACAGACTAGAAGCATTATGAGAAAATTGGAGGTGTTCAAACCTTTTTGAAAATAAGAAAACACAGTTTTCCCCACGCAATTTTTTATTTAAAAAATCTACAAAATCTGATTACGTCTACACTCAAATTGATCTACTTGCTCGATGAAAATCTATCAAAACGTTCAAGGCGAGCCAATTCCGGATCTTCTTTCTGCGTCTCAAGCTCAGTCTCTCGATTACGTTTCCATTCGAAACCAAAACCTGGTGTAGGTGATTCTAGACCAAAGTTCGCTGACGGTCCTTTGTTTACTTGGACTGCTTCACTTTCACTAAAACAAAAAAAAATTATTCCACTTCTCACTGTAGCACCGAATTAAAAGCGTTCGAAACAACTAATGGAGAGCGTAAAATGGCAAGAATTATTGCGAAAATCGTAGAGCCCCTGGTGACGTAAAGTAGGGCTCAAAATTTCATTGAAGTACGATTTACTGCTTCTATTCTCAAATGTGCACTGAAGATACGCTCGTGTTGAGGCGGAGCAGGTTGCAAAATGAGCTCATGGTACTTATTCCGCTCACTATCTGTGTGGAACAGCTACCAATGTATGGTGTAGTATAAATAAGCGGACAAGGTCTACAAGAAATAAGCACGACCTCGGGGATAAGTGAGCCTCTTTCTAGATATAACCATGCCTTACTGTCCCTCTGCGATAGAGTAATACTGTGTCGGGAAACGTGCTAACTTTTTTTCAGATTCTAAAGTTATGTTCGTTGAACATCACTGAATACCGAACCACTCACGTGAGCGCTGCACCAGTAGGCGTTCCAAATTTAACCTGATGACCATCCGACAAGTACACCGGCTTGGGTGGCATAACCTCACGACGACCATCCCTAAAAATCGTTCAATTATAACGAAATGAGAAGAGGGCGATGTTAAGCTCCTAAAACGGTAAAACCAAAAAATTTATACCTAGTGTAGTAGTAATTTCCTGAACTAATGTGATGAACTCCACCGGGTAATGTTGGTAGCTCTGCTGAACCAGGTCGAGCAGATTGCGTATTTGGGAACCGTAGTGGATTATGATAGACTGCCTGTAAATAATAACTCAATATAAAAAAGAGATAGGAAGAAAGAACAGAATATTTGGGGGGACAGCGCTAAGTTCAATAAATTGATGAGGTGAGATCAATTTTTAAGAAGAGCCATAATCGGATAGGACCGAAGCGCTAGGATTCAGAGGTTTAGAATGGAGGTATAAAAAAAGGAAACAGTTTTTAAACGAGTTTACCTTTCCGTCAGGTGTTGGAAGGCCTGGAGGAGGAGTTTTCGGTAGCCTGTCGACAGCGAGCAGCTTATTACGTATCCATGTCCAGAACGGAGTCTGAGTACGGTTTTGTACAGTGGCGGCCGCGATCTTTCGACCGCTCATCGGTACTGAAACACTTTTTCAGAAGAACTTGAGGAGCAGCTCAACAAATAGACGCGAAGTCGACTGCGAGACGTGTTCCAAACAAAAACTGGC